AAAATTATATATTAGGAAATAAACAGTATAATTCAATGAAAAGTACCCTAATTCAATATTATTTTAAGGAAACAACAAAGGAATTAGCATAAGGAAATAGAAGACTAATATCAGATATTAAAGAAATAGAGAAAAGAATATACAGAATCAGTACTAGTAGAATCAAGAGTAATTTTTCAGAGGACAAAAAGGTTAATAAACCTTTGGCATGATAGATTAAAATGAGAGTAAAAACAAAAATAAGAAAAGTCAAGGGTAAAGGAGACAACACCATGAGAGATTCTTAAAGACATTAGAATATCATAAAAAGATATTTTAGCAACTTTATAAAATATCATTTAAAATATAGGTGAGATGGACACAATTCTAGGGAAAATAAACCAAAACTAATACCAGAAAAATAAAGTCTAAGAAGGTATAGGTCTGTGAAAAAAAACTGTGCAAACTATTCTACAGTTAAAAACCTTTTTATAAGTATCCATGACCAAGTGGCCTCACACAAAGGTTTAAGGAAGCAGTCATGACAATACTGCAAAATTCCTTGAGAAGACAGAGAAAGAAATAATCACTTTCCAATTTATTCCTTTATTTGGTATAACTTTGGTACAAAACTTACATTATAAGAAATAAAAATTATGGATTATTACACCCATTAGTGTGAAAGCAAAATCTTAAGCAAAATAACATCAAGACAAATATAAAATATTTAAAAGGTTATTATATATTATCAAGTGGTTTTTTTTATTCCAGGAATGCAATAATTATTCAACATAATATCAAACAATGTAATTTACTACAGTAGCTTTCCATGAGCAAGTTACTTCACCTTTCAAAAATTTTAACTATCTTTATTTAAAGTTTCAATTTTCTCATATATAATATGGTTTTTGTGATGATTAAATAATTAATGCATATAAAGTTCATAGCACACAGCATATAGTAAATGACCAACAAATCTTAGCTATTATTTTATTAATATCTTTTAAAAATCATAAATTTGAAAGAAACATTTATGTTGAATTATGTAACAGATTAAAATCTCATGTATGCAACTCTCAATCAGAAAACTCTGTGTAAAAATACACCAAAACTTTGGAGCCTAACACAACAATGTATTTAGTCCCCAATACCAAAGTTCAGCAATTTGAGCTGGGACAGCAGAACGGGTCTTCTGGTCTCATTCACATGTCCGTCATCAGCTGCCAGGGCAGCTGGAGACTGGCTAGTCTTGGGAGGGCACAGTGGGTCAGCCAGGATGGCTTGTTTCTGTTCATTGCTGTCTCTCATCCTCCAACTGGTTAACTTGAGCTTATTCACATAGCATTTACAGGGTTCCAAGGGAAGAAGAGAGAGCAGGTGCCAATGTGTAAGTCTTCTTCAAATCTCCACTTGCATAACATTGGTATTGTTTCACGGCTCAAATCAAGCAACACAGTCAAGCCTAGAATCTGAGTGTGCAGGGAATGATGTGAGGATGTGGATATAAGGAGTATTAAATAAACTGGGCACAATTACTCTACTCCCACAAGTTCCAAAGTAGTACTTTGTTATTTAAAAAATAAAAATAAAAAAGGATATAGGAAACTGTACATGAGTTTTATCTGACAAAATGTTACCAAACCATTAAACTTCAAAAAAAGGGAACATTTTTTTCCTAAAACGAATTTCTTTTTTTAATATTAAATTTATTTATTTTTTCAAATACATTTGTCTCTGCCTTCCCCCCACCACTTTCTCTTGCCCCCTCCCCTGCTCTGTCCCTAAATCCTTCCACTTTGGTTTGGTCCATGAGTCTTTGCTATATGTTCCTTGACTTTCCTCTTCCCTTCCTTTTCCCCCCGCCCACTCCTCCCTCCTTCCCTCTTGTCTCTGTTGGTTTCTTTTCCTTTCAGTGTTGCTGGTCTTATTTTCCTTGCATCTTTGTTTTGTTGGTTAGGTTCCTCTTATAGGTGAGATCATATGGTATTTGTCTTTCGCCCCCTGGCTTATTTCACTTAGCATAATGCTCTCTAGTTCCATCCATGCTGTCGCGAAGTGCAGTAGTTCTTTTTTTCTTTCTGCTGCATAGTATTCCATTGTGTAAATGTACCATAATTTTTTGATCCAATCATCTACTGATGGGCATTTAGGTTGCTTCCAACACTTGGCTCTTGTAAATTGTGCTGCTATGAACATTGGGGTGCATAAGTTCTTTTGAATTGGTGTTTTGGGGTTCTTAGGGCATAGTCCCAGCAGGGGAATCGCTGGATCAAAAGGCAGTTCCGTTTTCAGCTTTTTGAGGAAATTCCACACTGCTTTTCACAATGGCTGCACCAGTCTGCGTTCCCACCAACAGTGTACTAGTGTTCCCTTTTCTCCACAGCCTCGCCGGCACCTGCTGTTTGTTGATCTCGAAAACAAATTCCTTTACTTAGCATCTCTATTTTTATGAAAACATCCCTAACTCTCTAGAACCTTAGTGTGGTAATCCAAACACATTTTTCAATTTAATGCCTTTAGTGTCCAATGCAAACCATTTTTTTCCCCAACTAGGCAAGTCAGTGGATGGCTCTCTCACAGTGCTCTTCTGCTCCACTCATGACATTTTCTTATCTAAAAGATGCTCTCTTCAACCCTACCCCTTGAATCATTTAATGTAACTTATCATTTAAGTTTCCAGCTCAAATGCTACTTGAAGGTGACAATAATTTGTTCTTTATTAATATAAAACAAAATTTAGAGACCAAACATTGATCTGAACTCCCATCTAATGCCATGAGCTTTGATGGGTCTAGCCATTTGTATTGCCCCTTATCTATCTCTGAACACTGTGCCTTCTGGGTGCGACAGTAAAATTTATTGCATAAAGGTCCATTTTTTTTGGAATTCTCTGTTTCTTCCATAGAATTCAGTATGGCAAAATAGACTTAGTTACTCAGTACAAACATATTTCATATTTTTATAGATTTTGGTGAAAGCCTTTATACAATTTCTTATTTACCTACTTGTAGTATCTTAGTATTAAGGAAATTTGAAATAAATTAAGTGATATTTCAAAGTCACCAACTAGCTGTTTTATCATTTATATCCATAAAATATATTTTATTGTTTAGTGATCCAAATGCCTCTATCTATCTCAACTAACTTTTATATAAAACAAGTCTAGAGAGAATTGTATCTTTTAATTCACCTGATGTAAATTAACCTAATTTCTTATATTAAATATGCACTGTGCCCAAATTAATATAACTGCTTTTAGAAATTTGTAATTTAGATTTTCTCTGAGGAAAACTTGCCTTCCTCAGAGAAAATACTATTAAAATTAATGAATACATCTTTTAGAATTCTTCTCACTGAGCATTCAAAAATTAGCTGGTTCTGCTTTTGCTTTTATTCTTCTATTCTCAGTGCTGACTGCTGGAATAATGGGTCTTTATTTGGATTTAGCATCTAAAAAATATTTGCTATGTCTGATTAACTGACTTATGAATTTCAAATGCAATTATCTATAGATACTTACTAAAATTTTGAAGAAAAAAAGACTACCTTACACCAAATAATTAACCCTGGAAACAGGCATATAAATAGAATTCTAATTATAGAAATGACAAATTTGAGTTGGCTTATTTACTTAAAGTATAATCCATTTGAGATATGAAGAGGCATATAAAAATAGATACAAGGCAGAGAATAATATAAATAATTGAAAATTTCATGGAAATAGAAATAAAACAAAAAGAAAATGATAAGACTGGGTGAGATGAATACATAGCATTCTCTGTTTCTGTTAGAAACTGGCTTAAAGTTTGACTGTTATTTTTTAAACTCCAGGAAACTGCTTATACAAAATCAATAATAAGGTTTGAAGAGTACATGAAACTAAGAAGGATTTATTTCCAAAATCCTAATAAAGGTAATACTGGATGGCATAGTGGTTATCTCCATAATTGATAAAATAATTGTCTTTGTTTCTCTTTTTCTTTTGTGCTCCTCAGTCCAAACCAAGGAAAAAGCTGGAGCACAGTTGCATAAAAGAAAGCCCATGAAATCCAAAATAATGTAGTTCAAGTAGACAGCTCTCTGATTGTCCTTTTTCTATACAAATATTAAAAATCTAGAGAAAAGGATAGATAGTCTTCCATATTCCAAATCAGGCTTATGATTAAAAAGCAGAGTTTAAGATTTTTTTCTATTAAAAATTTAGAATGTAGCTACTCTATGCAAATGACCCACCCATATGTTTTAATAATCAGTGAAGCAGACTGAATTCCTTATTTGCTCTTCTTACTTGTTAATATTAATTCACATCCATAATTATTATTGGAAAACAGGACACTGAAAGTGTTAGGATGATTGTATCTGTGAAGGCTAGAAAGAACCAGAAAGTTTCAGTGATTGAATAAAGCATCACTAGAAAATCATATTTGTATTTTATGAAAAACTGATAGCTAATTTCATAATAATTTCCTTTGAATGTGAAGAAAAAAATCTGTATGGTCATTCAAATAGAACTAGAAAAAACAAGAACTTACACATTTTTAACTTTAAGGAAAATAACTTTAATGTTAGTGAGTCCAGATTTGCAATTTACATTGTCTAATGCTGGAAAGAAAAAAAAAATACATACAAATAAAAAACAAAATCATGTATTATCCAAATGGAGAGTTTTTTGAGAGTGAATTAATTCACTACTAATACAGAAGCTGGAAAATTAAGCACCAACCCAGGCTAAACTTTGCAAATTGGGATTCACAGTCAGCATACTTACAAATGCTTTTCAAAGGCACAAGCCCAAGGCCGGACAATTACTTTTCCCCAAAATCAACTCCTCTCTTCAAGATGTCTAACCAGATTGCCCACACTTTTATTGTTAATTAAAAATAGGTCAGCATTAAATTTTTTTAATTGTGTTCTCAACTGTGTCACTCATACTCACTGAATGTGGACATTCCTTTCTCCTTGGAGGGAACACATGTGTCCTGTTGATGAAGTGCCCATCTGTCTCCCAGTGTTTATCTTACCTTAGCTGTATTTACTGCATTACGGATCCGCCCATCTTTTTCATGATCCTTTATTTTCTGTAAAGTTTGCCATATTAAGTTTCTAAGTCCATCTTGTTCCTCATCTCCTCGAAGTTCCCATGACATTTTTACCAGGTTATACACTATGCCGTAGTATCCAATCCATATCACTTGATCACCTGTTTAAAAAGAAATATTATTTAGAAAGATATCATTTTATTCATCTTACTGATATAGAAAAATAAGAAACTGATCTTACTAATTTTAAAGCCTGCAATTCAGAGTTTTTTACTCTTCACTGCTTCTACTTCTTTAATTTTAAAAGATCACAGGTATTTTTAAATTGTTAACCATTTGAAAAGATGAACTGCACCCAACTAATATCAGACTTCATAAATTGAAAAGTTAAACAGGTAAATTGTGAACTAGGTACTAAAAGCAAATCTTTGGCATTGAAGTAAACACGAGTTTGTTCAAGGCAATATGAATACTTAAACCACCATGGTAGATTTTTAAAATAAATCAGAGAAACAGGAGAAAAATCACTGTCTATTGTAAGAATGATCAAAATCTATGAAATATGGCATTTGAACCAAGAATGAAGTGTTAAAAATAATGTAAACAAAATTTTCTGATATTATGATAACTATAAGTTTTTTTAAAATAATAGGTGCATATGTCAATTAAAATAGGGGAGCACAATGAATCAGAAGAGAGTAAAAAAAAGTCTAATTCACTTCTAAAACTTATATACCAATAGATATTTACATAAATTATCCAATTCTACTTTTAAAATATTCATTTCCCTTACAGAAAGGAAGACGAAGTTCCTCTTTACTCTTTATGTTAATTATTTTTCACTTAGATGGCACATTGCTATGCAATACTACTCAGGAAAAAGAGTTCTAATTTAGGTAATGAGGGGATAAATAAATTTGGAGAATGAAGTAAAACAGGTCTTAAAGTGAATATGAGCTTAAGTTAGCCATGATAGTACTGAGTATATGTGAAGCAGGGAAGAGAGCAAGAGGAAGAGAAGGCTCAGAAAGTAGGATGGAAGAGTTTTAAAGCTAAATAAAGTCTGTATTGTACTTTCCCTCCAACTCCTGGGGATAACCGTTGTGATGTCGGAACTCACCCATGCCTTTCTTGAAAAGTCACAATCTGAAAAGTCAGCATCCTCAACTTTTCCTAATTCAGTCTAGATTTTTATAATCTAGGCTAATAATAATAATCACTATGATTATAACTAGAATGCTTTAGAGTACCTACTAGGTGCCTTATTCTAGTTCTCATTACAATCCAGCTATGTAGACCATATTATACTTAGAATAATATAAGGGAGCGTAAGATTCAAGTTGGTGCAAAAACTCTTAGTGTCACGCAGCTGACGGGGGGATGGATCCAGGTCAAGGCTCATCTAAACTTATCCCATGCAGCACAGCCTCTCCATTTCAGGCAAGTACTTTTCCTTCTAATCCTCGGTTTATAATCCATTCACAGGAAAGGAAGAAGCTAGAAGTTTGAAGGAGGAGGCGAAAGAGAAAATATGTGCACATTTTGAAAATGGGAGAAGACATATGTCCAGCTTTCAAACTTAAGTCACCCTCTATCCTTTCTATTGTTGATTCTTTAGAAGAGAATGCATAAGCTGCAAATATGAGGCTACAGTTAAGTAGTGAATTCAGTTTTTAAAATTCATTTAATTGAATTTATTGGGGTGACATTGGTTAACAAAATCATATAGGTTGCACATATACAATTCTATAATATAACATCCATATATTGTTTATATGTGAAATGTAATGAACAAATTAACAAAAAAGAGAAACAGACTCATAGATACAGAGAACATATTGACAACTATCAGAGTGGAGGTGAGGTTGGGGGGCTGGGTGAAAGTGGAAAAAGGATTAAGCAAAAAAAAACAACTTTATAGACACAGACCACAGCATGGCGATTACCAGAGGGAAAGTTGGCGGCGGAGGGGCAGGGGTGGCATAAAGAGGGTAAAAGCAGGATAAGTGGAGACAGAAGTAGACTTGACTTTGGGTGGTGGCCAATTCTTTTAAAAATATAATTATCCCCTCATAAAAACTTCACTAGTTAAAAGAACTGCACTGCTATATTTGAAATTATATAAAAGGAATGATGTCAGCATGATGGTGAGCTAGAAAGTCCCCCATCCTCCTGCCTTCACAGAAACACGATTTGGCAGCCATCCTATGAATAAAAGTGCATTTTGGGGAAAATTGGGATTGAATAGGAGGTTGGGAAACTCCAGTGGAACCCAAGACTGTGGAGGGCCAATTTGATAGGGCAGGTCTGGACCCACGTATCAAGTCTGAGGCCAGTGATGTAGTCTGTGGACCTGGAAATAGCCCTGACCTCCTGTGAACTCAGCTTCAACCCTGCTTGTCCACAGTCCTACCACAAGCCCCAACCACCAAAGGACCAAGGAGGACCCACACCTGTTGGGGCCCTTGGTAAGATGCCCACTGATTTTGAACCTGACTGTGGACAATGAGTTAACTCTGTGACCTGGCTTCAGCCTCACACTACCATAGTCTGAGGCAGATCTGTCTACCCAGGAACCCAACCATGGAGAACCCACCCAAGGACCTGGCAGGATCATGCTCAGAGAGCTGGTGGGAGCCAAATCCATTTGCACTCCTGGTAACAGGCCTCAGATCGGCAGGTCCTGAAGCAGTCCCATAACCAGGCTCCAGCCCCGCTCAACCCGGGTTCTGGAGGTGGTCCCATCTGCACAGGCACCAAGCGGGAACCATGCTCACGGATGCCCATCGACTCCCAGCAGAGAGACAACTCTAACAATAGAGAAAGTAGAGGAAGACGACGAGGATTTCCAATTGAGCTGAGGTGGAGAGTTCATATTAGAAATGGATGAGGTAAAAAAGCTAAAAATAAATAGGGTCAGATTAAATGTAGATGTTTGAGCAAAAGATATTTGAGCATATGTTTACTGAATGAAACATTATGTCTATTCAAACAATAAACTGGGAAACCAATATGGGTGTTTTATGTGGTAATCTAGCTCTTTACTATGAAGACAGCAGGAGATTGGAGAGTAAAAGACAAACCTAAGACATTGTGGAGAAGATCTAATAAGACTTCTTAATTATGGAGGAAATGGAAGGAATTAAGTAAAAAGAAAAAATACATTCTTAAGCTCAGGAGACTGAAACAATAATGAAATCACTTGCAGAAATGCAATTATGTAGAAGAGTCTATTGGGAAGAAAGGAGACAAATATTATTTGGAAAGAGTGACATGGTGGAGTGTGAGAAAAATCTAATTTTTAGTTCCCTGTCACTTGTAAAAATATATCTAAAATTCAAGTAAAAGAGCAGAAACAAAATTATGGATTTGTGAGTAATTAGCAAAAACTATGGCTTGAGATAAATATGACTAAAGAAATAATTATGAATTTTTAATAACTGAGAAATTGTGAAACTCTGAAATAAAAAGCAGTTTTTGAACAATATAAGTAAGACATACTTTATAGACTCCAAAATTCTTTACATTAAAAAGAATGATTGACAAAAGTATGTCCAAACCACTTTTCTTCATATATTCTAAATTACTGTTTATTGAGGAATAATATTTTATAAGCTTACAATACTTGAATCATTGAACTGAACATGGTTTGCTTTTAGACTCCACAAGACCAGTGATGGACCCATAAAATATTTTCTAAGAACTGTGTTCTCAAAACTCAAAAAACTTTTTAAATGCCATTGCTTTTAAAAGTGAGCTGTTCACTTGTTGATTTAAATGACAATGAAGTATTGCTTATGAATAATATTTGTAGGAAGAATCTATTACATCCAACTGGCTGGCAGCTAATAAAAAAAAAACCTTCTAAAAACAGATGGGATGTGTTACCACTGTCATAAAGTGTAGAATGCATTCTAAAATGCACGTCCAGGCATTTGCCGAGAAGCATGTCTACTATGAAACTCCTCATTCAGGGGCCAAACTGTGGCATACGGTACTCCTCTGTTCTGCTTTGAGTGATCCTGTGGCAGCTATCAAAGATGTCACTTGAAATATACTGAAAGAAAATGTGTCTCTTTGCAGCTAAGCAGACAGTATCATAAGACATAATGAAGCTGAACCAAAATAAAATTCTTAATACATCTTGAGAATGTATTAAGAAACTGTGATGTTTAAAAACTGATATTATGCTCTTTTTGTTGTAGCTTTATTTGAATGTTTGAACTCCTTGAAAGCCTTTAATTTCCAGTGTAGATATTTAGATTTCACATATTCAGCGATTATGAAATATGAATATTTCTGTTCATATGAATGGGTAAAAATGAGTACACCACAAAATCAAATGTATCTCTGAAAGGTAACTTGAATATAAGGTGTTGTTTAGAACATTGTCTGTATGAAATACCATGTAGAGTGAAAGAAATTAGATCAATGTCAGGAAACCAATGGACAAGAACAAGTCTTGGGCAAGGCAAGCATTTAACAAGTATTTACTGAGTCAATGCTATGTGCCAGCCACTGTTCTATGTACCAAAGAAAAAGGCAATATCACTGCTTTCAGGACACAGTTCTACTAGAGAAAGACAGAGAGCTAAAAAAGAAAACAGAATAATATCAGTTCATAATGAGTGTTATAAAAATAATAAAGGTTGTAATGTGGCCAACAATGACTAGAAGAAGAAAACTACCAGAGGCAGAATGAGAGAAGACTTCCATGAGGATGTGGTATTCAAGCTAAGATCTGATTAAAACAAAAAAGTTAATCATCCAAGAAACTTGGAAAAATGTCCCAAGCATAGGGGGTGGAAAAGGCAAAGTCTTAGGAGCTAGAAAACAATGGTAGTTTAGAGAAGCAGAAGAAAGGATGGAATGGGTAGAGTATGAGATACCTGGCGGGCAGGCATCTGTGGGACGGAACGACGTCAGCTGGGCCTGCCCTTTGAGGAGGCAACACTACAGGGTCATAGCCTAGGCCACGGATACGAGTTTGGAATTTATTTTTGGTGTAATAAAAAGTTAACAGTGTCTTTTAAATAAAGAAGGGAGCTGACCCACTTGGCTTCTTGGTGTAAAATGGATCCTAGGGAGTTATCTGAGAAACAGAAAAAACCTGTAGCCTTTTGCAGTCATCTAGAAGCTAAGTGATGATTGCTTGAGCTTC